GCCAAGTTTATTTATATATGCGTATGTTAATGTAAAGATACTTATACATACTGTGTACGTAGAGTAAATGCAGCACTGGTAATCGAGCTTGGTAAATTGAGACCTTTCGTCACTTCACGCCACAATTTCTTGTTAATTACTTCTACGAGACCGCCTTTTCCCACGACCAAACGAAATAATTCATCTAATAGAATAAAAAAGAAGTCGATACGTCAGCGTTATTTCTCTCTTTCTTCTTCATCTGTTCACTTACATAAATCGAGAACATGTTTTGCCATAATAGGAATTCGATTAACAGGAGTACCTTGAAGAAGAAGAAAGATTGATTTGATCGAATATCTTGTTTTATCTTATTTTCAAGTAGATAATTCATCAAAATCTAACAAACAAATACTTTCATTCAATCACCTGTCAAAGAAGATATATTCAGATTTGATTTCAATCTTCTTTGAACTTCAACCGACACTTCCTCTAACAGTCAAATGTTTTGTTTTATTATGATATATCGATAATTATATTTGAAAAAAAGGAACATTCCTCTAGATCATTTCATTGAAGAACTACTGATATTGATAGGCACTCATCGATTATGATTGGTGAAAAATCCTCGACCAATGAGAATCGACTTACCACGTTTTTGCATAAATGCAAATAGATCGTCGAGAAATTCTTTGCGTTTTGGTTCATCAGATAGTTCATAGAGCTAGAAAAAAAAGAGAGAATTTGTTGTCTATATTAACATTGATGAAGGCAAAAGGAAATTTCATTAGAAGAATTATTCCTTTTCCCGAAATCAGTTTAATCGAGCGTGTAGACAACGATGATTTGTTTATTTGTCTCGCTGAAGACTATCATCTTTTCGAAGTTGTAATTGTGATCGATGAAGCTTTCTTTTCCTTTATAGACACAAGTGCTCGACCGACTTTCTGCTCGATTTGACCTGATAAGAGAACGAAGTTCATCGTTTAATATTCTTCGCTCGTATCAATGTGTCTTACATATCGGATAAAAACTAATCTTTAAGCTGATTTTCACTTGACAGCAGCTGGAAATTTCTTTGTTATTTAATTGAAATTGAATAGTCCATAAAAAGAAATCTTTTTTTCTTTAAGATGCTCATTTTTTTCTTCTCTCGTCGTCAACCATCTGCCTCGAAACAATGCAATTAGTAACAAATAATCGATATAGCCTCGAGCTGTGCTTCTCTCTCTCTCCATACGTGCGACATTCTATTTGATGATCAGGCATTCTGTTCGGGGAAACAATTCTTAGTAGCAATAGAACAACTCCCAATGAGACTAATTGTTGATCCAACCACATAAGCTCATCAATAATCTCAAGATGCACATATTTATATAAATGAGCAAAGCTAATGTGTCTTTTTCTTTCCTTTCTTTTCTTTTCTTCGAAAGCAATTAGTTGATATGTATATATGACTGACATGGATATGTTCTGCCTTTAATGTAAACGATAAATTGATCATCAGACAAAAACTGACCGGCCTTAATCGGTAGAAAATTAGTCTAAAGGGATAGTTACAAGCTAAACAACAGCTGCACGATCATAAACGTTTTTTGATGGATAGAAACTTCTTATTATTATATAAACCTGATGAGAAAGATACGAGCAAAAATGTCAGTCGAGCCACATCGATCACAATATCTGATTGTAATTTACTTCTCAACGACATAGAACGCCTCTACAATATATATATCTATATACATATGCGGAAATAGAAAAAAATGAGAATAAAAACAGACGCCTAGCGTCTTTTCTAACCTTCAGCTCGATAATTATTTTCCGATCTAATCAACTGAGATGATGTGTGTATGTTGATATGCCAGACTATCTAAGCAATATATATATATATGTATACATATAAACCTTTTTCTTCTCTTCTCATTTCTGACGAAGAATTTCAAATAATCAATCTTTTTCTTTGCCTCTAATTACCTTGTCAATAAATAATAAGCAATGAATGTGTATGTGTGTATTCATACAGATGGTCAACGTTCTCTCATTTTTTTTCCAGAGATTAATTTTGTCGCGCTCTCTCTCTCTATGCATGTTTGCCTTGATCTACCTGCCTATGGAAAACAAAAGAGAAGATAGATGTGGTTTTGATTTCTCTCTCAACCCGCGTGTCTTCAATAATAGATAAGTGCTTCTATTAAAAAGAAAATAGATGAATGAGCCTTTGTTACATCTTTTATGGCACCCCATTTATATATACACATCAACCAAACATTTCAATTAATTATTGCCTCAAAGCTATCAACACTCATTTGGTCTACAAAGAGTGAGCGAGACATCCTAAACAAATGATGTGCAAACAGAAGGAAGAAGAGAATGATAGATCTCGATAGAGATAGAAACTGTTCGAGTAAACTTAATTGATTACTCGTCGATCAAAATTAGTCTTACCTGACGAAATTGTTCTTCGAATGTCCTAATCGAGAGAAACAAGAAAAGACGATTATGACAAATATGAGAGATTGAAAAGAAGATCAATTACCATTCTGTTGTACTGCCAGAATTCGATTGNGATGTGCAAACAGAAGGAAGAAGAGAATGATAGATCTCGATAGAGATAGAAACTGTTCGAGTAAACTTAATTGATTACTCGTCGATCAAAATTAGTCTTACCTGACGAAATTGTTCTTCGAATGTCCTAATCGAGAGAAACAAGAAAAGACGATTATGACAAATATGAGAGATTGAAAAGAAGATCAATTACCATTCTGTTGTACTGCCAGAATTCGATTGATTGCCGCTGTCATCCGAACTAGGTGATTTCGGTGGTTGCTGCTGGGCCTGCTGTTGTTGATCAGTAGTAGCCGATGGGATTGTTGGAATCACAAGAGATGATGTTGTTGGTGGTGCTGTCCATGGATACGGATGAAAATTATAGGGATTCTGTTGTTGTTGTTGTTGTTGATTATACAGCGCAGCTGCTAAGTATCGATCTCGTTCATCTTTGGATAAGCGTGAAAATGATTCATCATTATTTGTCGGATTAATTTGTGAAAATAAACGTTCTCGGTCTTCGGGTTTCATACCGAACGCCTGTGTATAGAGAAGGAAATTTCGATGTGCCAGCCATCGATCTTCATAATCTTTCAATTCTTTCGCCAGCCGTTCACGTTGACGCGTATAATCAATTGTTGATGTTGTTCGATTAACAATCGATTGAACGACCGGTGGTTGTGGCGAAGACTGATTTGATCGATGTTCATCGGTTGTTTTCGATTTGTCTTCGTGACTAACCGGCGATTTTCTGCCACCGTGCTTTTCATTAGTTGTACTAACATTAGAAAAGTTGTCGTCGTCTTCATCAACTGTCGATGAGGCTGGCGAAGAGTCATTATTCGTGGACGCATCGGTATTCTAATTGACAAAAGTGTAAATCTCTTCAAAACGAAGTCATTTTATTCGTCGTTACATACTTTCATGTGAGGAAATTCATTGGTTTCAGCACGTAAAATTTCCATTGTTTGATTCTCGTTTTTTTTTATGCTAGTATGTGCTTCATGTAGTAATAATCTATACAAAATTAATCAAAAAAACTCTGTAACTTGAAGAACAAACGGACGCGCACTCTTGCGCGCATGACTAAAAAAGTGGATTGCACTCTCCTCTCTCTCTCTCTCTTGATATGTTTTTTTTTCTTGCTCTCCCTCTTTATAGACGCTCGCATTATTCCCTTTCTCAACGAATCCGAATTAAGCAAGAACGGAATAGACACATGCTCCTAATATCATGAAACAGTTTATATCAAAAACAAAATTAATCTTCTCTTTTCTTTCTTTGCGCATGCTGCGTGCGGATTCGTCCGATTCACAAACAAAACGAGCCATCCGATTTGCTGAATTTCTCTCTTATTCTTTTGCTATTAGAACATATACAAAAAAAAGACGAGGAGAAGAAGAGAAAGAAAAGAAGTGGAAGATTAACATTGACGTCTAGTTGTTAATATCGATTATACAGTAGGCTTATTGTTAGCTTGACGACGAATGATGATGAGTATGATATGAATGTAAATGATAATAGTACGGCTTACTAAAAACATAGCAAGGCAAGGCAAAAAATCATCATTATCATCATCATTATTATTATCATCATCATATCATATAAGAACTGACAGACTGACATCGAACGCTTCATGTATATCTCGTCGTCATCGTCGGCTTTTTTCTCTAGTAGGATAGATGGATGCAATCGAATCTCGGTTTGTCTACGCATGACGGAAAAGTCTTGTCGACAATGTTATACTAGATTGCTTTTGATGGCCGTAGATATATGTAGAAATATTGTTACTTGCATTTAGCCGGAGAACATCAATTTAGTAGACAAAATTACACATCATTCTCTTTCTTTCCTTCTATTTGTCTTAGATGATTAATCAAGCAATCTAGCTTTGCATTATAATTATTAAAAAGTCAATTACTCAGTTAAAATAATGATCAAATCAAAGAAATTGCTCTTTTCTACCGACATAATTCAGATAAACAATGATCATCCCTAGGCAATAATCATCAGTAATAATAACAACATACCGAGAAAGCGAACGACGAGATGTCTATGATGCTTTCGTTTGTTTTGAAGTCATTTTCGAATGAATTTTTAATCAATTTCTATAATAATTAATCGCACAAAAGCTTTCCTTCTTCCTCAGAATTTCATATTACTTTACTCGATTGTCTTCGTTGGACTTCTCTTTCTAGAATATCAAAATAGATTCAAATAGTCACGAACATTGATTTTTCTGCCTTTCAGCGAAGAAAAATGTGCACACAATTTATTTAATGAAAAAACTCATTACTTATGACAGAATATCAAATGAAGAGAATACCAACTATGTCGATTCAAATTTGTAGTAAGATGAATATGCGCTAAATGTCTTATCATTTTACTTCGTAGAATGTTAAATACATGCCAAATGATATGCTATGTATTCATTCGATAAAACATTGAGGTTTTCGTGGGAAGAAAGTTTGAAAATCGTATCGAGATGAATCTTATTGGTTATTGACGTATCGTATGATGATATGTAACTGATTTATTCTTGCAAAAAAGAAGTATACAAGTTTATGTGATAATAGCAGTGCGCAATTCACGAGGTATGTTCAGATTTCCAAACAAAGAAATTTCCGCAATATCCGAAAATTCTATAACATATAATTCGTCATGAGTAATAGACAAGAGCGAAGGACATGGTGAAGAGACGAAGGAAAATCAAGAAATTTCGAGATATTTTCGGTAATTTGAATAATTTGAGGGATGAGAGTTAGGGTGTGGATTGAGCAATTTGTCACTCACCTCCGCCCCCACTCTCACCCTCACCAGATAATAAGCTCGATATCTAAAATGATAATTTGTTAAAAGAGGAATTGATGTAAGTATAAATCAGTTTCCAAAAGTACACCAATTATAAAAACAAGCAAAACAGCTGTTTTCATACTTTGCCATACTTTATTCTTCAACAAATAAATATTTCTCTAAACTGCTATTCCTAAGCATTGAAAGATGAGTATAAAGATTCCAGAGAGATTATGGTACACATTGGCATATGTGGTAAAATAGTTTCAACATAGAATAAAGTCGAATCTAGCCAAACTTAATGGTTATATTCCGCGTATACTCTATCCTATTCCTTCATCTATACTCGTATTATATTTACTATATTTCATATGGATTAACTCAATTTTATCAAAATTATATTGTATAAATAGTGTTATTGATGATTTTGTTCTCACTTTATCTTTAGATTAATTATAGACGATTGATTGTTAACAAAATTCACATTATATCACGGCTATGGATGAAAACTCTAGTAAAATCAATGATCTCTCGTCGAAATTGAGAACGATGGTTATAATGAATGTGACTTCACAGCTTATGCTTATTGAAGTGCAGAGGTCAAAGTAGCATGATGATACATTGGCCTATATCCATCTTAATATAACTATTGCATGCAGTTATGAGTGTGAATTTCACCTCGTGAATAAACCAATACTATTCTCTTTCAAGTCTCTGATCAGTGTGCATATACATCGTTAACGGGAAAAGCAGGAATGAACAGCGCTGCCTTTAGTCCCTGAAATAATCTTTCTCCAATTAAAGCTATAATAGAAGAACTGGCTTTATGTATTCAAATAAATTCAATGGCGTATCCTCTCGGTTTTGAGTTCTTAAGGAAATAAAATCTTTAGCGAAGTTACCGGACACAAACAATGGGACTATCACAGAATGTATACATTCATAAAATTGATTTCAATACAGTACAGAATTCATGACTTGTTTATTGATAAACCATCAAAAAATTGTTTCCACTCGACATTTGTGTCGATACCAATGAATATAAGAGGAAAAAAAACGAACGACGACAATGACAACAGCTAGACAGAACGACACACAGACAAAATTATTTTTATTTTGAAATTTGTTTTTGTTTTTTTTTCTGTTAGAAAGAAAAGAAAATCTGAATGAAGCCAAGATATGACAATTATCTAGATTTATATAAAAAATAAGATCATTTCTTCTTTCGTTTAGCTGGTGAATTGTTCGATGCATTTACAAAAGCATCAGGTTTACGTTTCTGATTACCATTGACCTACATTACAAATAAGTTAGAAGAACTGTTGAACAACTATATGCATGTGTAACAAACCTTTGCGACAGATGCTGATTGTGAATTTTGTGATGAATTGAGAGCATTGCTATTTTTGGTTGATGCGCGGCCTTTCTTCTTCTCAGCTCGTTCGCGTTCTTCCAATTCTTGATTTTCCCGTTCAACAAATGTAATTAATGTATTCAAGCGTCGTTGTAATTCCTACGTAAATAAGAGCACAATGAGATTTTCATTCGTCGAAGAGATACGTACTATTGATGTGCGAGATTTCAGAAACCAATCAAAACGAAATTGCGGTGATTGACGAATAGCGTAACGAAGTTCTTCGTAAACATTTTCTTTGTCAAAACCAAGCTTATGTAGCATACAAAGAAGAAAGCGATCTTCTTCTTCAGTATAATTTTTGCCTTTATTCGTATTGTATTGAATACGTAGTTGATGGAAAGGGGCTTTATAACGAGCCATCTAGAATAATTTTGATGAGAATTCATCGAAAATTAGTTCATGCAATGAACAAGAAGCTTACTTTTGCATCTAGTGCTTTTTTAATGCTGATACGTCGATGAATTTTCGTTTCACCTCGTTCAATTTGTGCCATGATACGTTCGACATCAGTTAATTCATGACAACGATCCCAAAACACTCTGGCATAAGACATGACCTCGTCCGGTGTCTTACCTTCGACGTCACGACAAATGGCATCGAGATCATCACGACCGTATTTTTCATTTGCTTTGATAAATTGATTGAAATCACGTTTAGTCCAATTACAAAAACCTTGCTGAAGCAATTGCTCTTTTTCGGATTGTTCGTCTTCATTTAATGATTCGGCTTCATCTATTTTCTTTTGCTCTTCTTGTTGTTGTCGTTTACCTTCTTGTTCGTCAAGATCTGGATCACGTACAGCTTTGTAGCCGATGGATTTTCGAAATGCGTAGATTTCTCGATCGAGCAGTTCGAAGAGACGTGGAGGAAAGAATTGAAAATCTTGAACATTAGGTTGACGCGGTGGTCGAGGTGCTTTTGGTGCACGTGGTTCACTCATTCGTAAGGCTTCTCGAAAGTATGCATCGACTGCATAATTCGCTTTACGTTCTCGTTTCGGTGGCTGAAATAAAGGACAAAATGATCTTTCGACATCACGCGACAACGTTTACATACTTCAATCCATTTGATACCGAGAGTCGAGGATTGTTTTTCTCGATAATCTTCACCTTCAAACTTGTAAATTGAACCTCCACCAGCATCAGTACCATCACCGGATCCACCATTATTACTTCCACCCGTATTTTCATTATCAATGGTAAATTTTCTCAATTGACTTTCACCCATAGTTTCGTACTTTTCTCGCAATTCTTTTGTTTTTTGTTCACCTTGCGCCAAGATCAAGTCAATATCGACATCCAATTCATTTTCATCTTGTTTCGACGAAAACACATGTGTCGCACCATGACGAATCATCGACAACATTTCGTCTTTATCTAATTTTGTTGCTGCTTCTTGTAAACGACCTTGTTGAATAACAACATGATCGAGACGTAATTTCATTTCAGCACGTTCAACAATGCGTTCTTCTACAGTATGCTCAGTAATTAAACGGAAAACACGAACCTAAAATACGAAAGAATTTTCATCCCCATGAAACAAAATGTTTACAAAGCTAATTACTGTTTTCGTTTGACCAATACGATGCGCACGATCAGTAGCTTGTAAATCCACTTGAGGATTCCAATCGCTATCATACAAGACGACAACATCAGCTGTTGCTAAGTTAATACCTAAGCCACCGGCGCGTGTTGAGAGCATGAATATAAACTTCGTGCTATTTGGACTGTTGTATGCATCAATAGACATCTGTCGATCTTCATGCGATGTTTGCCCATCCAGACGGCAGTATTCGAAGTTTCTCCAAATACAATAATCTTCTAATATATCCAACATTCGTGTCATTTGACTGAAAATTAATACCCGTGAGCCTTGCTCTTTCAATTTGGTTAAAAGTTTGTCTAAGATAAGCATTTTACCACAATTATCTACCAAATGTTTATCGGTCGTATACGGTGGACCCGGTTCGGCTCCATCGAAGATATCTGCAAAGGAAATTTTCAAATAAATTTAAAAGCAAACAAATTTTTCTCTTCTTACACGGATGATTTGCACATTTTCTCAGTTGCATGAGAATATTCAATAATCGAATCTTATCTAGTTTGCCGCTTGCACTATTTAAGATATCGATATCTTTCATTAAAATTTTCGTATACCATTGTCGTTGTAATGGTGCCAGGCCAACGTAAAGCTTGGTTTCGATTTTGGGTGGCAATTTTTTCTCGACATCACTTTTCAAACGTCGTAGCAAAAACGGTTTCAAGATTCCGTGTAAACGCGCGACGAGATCTTTATCATCAGCTAAGCATTTTTGCGTGTCGAACCAAGCATTGAAATCATCAGCAGAATCGAAAACGTCAGGTAAAAGAAAGTTCAATAACGCCCATAATTCATGGAGATTGTTTTGTAAAGGTGTACCCGTAATTAAAAGTCGATTGGTTGATTTGAGTAAACGCACCATTTTACTTAGTTTCGATTGTTCATTTTTTATACGATGAGCTTCGTCAATCACGATGTAAGACCAATTATGTTTTTTCAAAATAGCCGATTCTCGCAAAACAATTTCATAAGACGTGACGAGAACATCCCAACCACCGGGTTCGATTTCTTCTTGGATAACACGATTACGCTCTTCTTGAGAACCAATCAGACAAACACTATTCAATGCAGGTACCCAACGCTTCAATTCATTCATCCAATTTCTTAATGTTGACTTAGGTGAGATAACCAAATGTGGAACAGCCTTGCGACATAATTTCATGTAACCAAGTAAGGAAATTGTTTGAAGAGTTTTACCCAAACCCTGTGAGAAAACAAGGAATTTACCGAAACATCTCTCTTTTGGACGAATATATCAAATCTTACATACCATTTCATCAGCAAGGATGCCGTTAATACCATTTTCATGCAACGAAATCATCCAATTTAAACCACGAATTTGATAATCACGCATTTCACCTCCTTTCACATCTGAAAATATTCGAATTATTTGTGCGAGATAAACATGTCGTTTTTGTTTTCAACTTACACCATGGTGACTGATCGAATCGAGTTATGGAACTGAGTTTTTCCGATTCTTTAGCGTCGCTTAACAATTCAGCATCTTCTTCCTCTTCTGTCATTCGATGACGATGACTAAACAGAAGATAAGATGAAAAATATTTGTTAAAGTTTTTAACGAACTGAACCTACTCTCCACTAGTTGCAGCATTTGATGCTGCGGGCTTTTTTGCTTGTGTCTTCATTTTTAATGGCGATGTCGGACCGCTACCTTTTGCATGTTTATTTAGTTGACCGTCTTGGACGAAATGGGAGAAAATTTCCGTTTGCTCCAGTAGATAATTGAATCGTTTGACTTGATCTTCATTCTAAAAGAAAGTCGATCAGAAACCAAGTTTCAAAGCATGAATTATGGTTTACCAATCGACTTTGGAAAGCCGGATCGAGAACGGTTTCTGGTTTTTTAACTGGCTTCTTCTTTTTTGTTGTATATTCTTGATCTGAATCTTCTTCATCTTCTCCTTCAGGCAAATCATCTGTCCCACCGAGTTCTTCTTCTAATTCGTCAGCATCTTTTTTCTCTTCAAGTTTTTCCTTTTGTCGTTTGATAACTGCCGATCGTTTCGTTGGTGTAGTATTTTCCGGGTCATTCTTCTCGTTCGCTGTATCCATAGGTTCTTCCGTTTCACTCATTGTTTAACGTTTGTCAATCTAAACTTACACAAAATATTAGCTTATATTCAAATAGTACAATGTTTTCTGTTGAGAAAGGCGTCCGACGGTTGACGAAGAAAGAATCGACTGAATGTCTTTTTTGTGAAAGCAGACAGTGTGAATGAGTCATAAAAACAAAGAGAGAATGGATGATGCAAGTAACAAAGATAAAACATGGACATCCTGCAGACAGTGCGAACAGAGGTCGCTGGATGTCGATCGAGATATAGAAAAAGAAAAGGCTCGGATATATAGCTTGTTTATTGAATCATTTCTTGACAGTTTAGTCGGAGAGACATCCACATATTGTACTGAGAAACAAATCTATTGAATGTGAAAGATCATTGATACTGATAACATCGGCACAAGTATCGTTGTTGATATAATTACCAATGAGATGGACATAGTAACCGGTGTGTATACTCGAGTAAATTGTGTGTAGGTAAAACTCATCATTTCCATATCCAAGCAATCCATAGATCGCATAAGGAGAACTCGTACCAATAACAATATCCGAATGATTGTCACCATTCAGATCGGTGACAATGGCAGATGCAGCATGTTTGATAGATTCTATATCAATTTTCTGTTTACTTTGAAATGTATCCTTTTCGTATCGATATATTTCGACAACTGTATGCTCCTCACTGCTGCAAATCAAAGCAAGATCAGATAGACTATCATTATTAAAATCACCTATTACTAGATTAAATACATGCGCTAAATACATTCCCGTGAAAAATGGCTTGCTTGGTAAGAAACTTCCATTCGTCTGTCCAAAAAATACAGTAATGTGTAAATAATTCAAATTGTACACAGCGATATCAAAGTAACGATCATTATTCAGATCACCTATAGCTAATAATCTGGGCTCACTAGCGTCACCAGTAGATAATATCATTGGTGACGATATGCTTCCATCCACACTTCCAAAAAACACTTGCACTGTATGCTCATAGGGTGAATTTATAACAATATCTGACACATTATCGTAATTTAAGTCACTGACATGCGTAGCCAAGGCAGTCGAACCTGTCGCCCATGGCAGTACAGTTTGTTCTTGAAATATTCCATCTTTGTTTCCAAACAAAATAATCAATCTACCTACGGGCTCAGATTGAACTCTCAAAACTACATCGGAACTTTGATCATTGTTAAAATTCCCGACATTGATATCTTTTATCCATTTATAATCCTTCACTGCAAATTCGATCGCTTTCTGAAATGTTCCATCACCATTGCTTAACAAAATATTAAGCTTTGCTGTGTCGTCACAGAAGAAGACAATGTCAATTTGATTGTCAGCATTAATATAGCCAACAGTAGCAGACATTTTTCTATCTATTGAAATAGAGCACGAAATGTTGACGGGAAATTGTACTAGGTGAGACCGGCATATGGTTTCTAAAAAGGAGGCATATAACTATCAATAGCAAGATAGCTACGAAAAGAAGGGAACTTTTCCCCCGGCGAATTTGTTTAGGAGCGTGCTCTCACTTTCATGATAATGATTTCCAAGCAAGCCCTGCGAGTTCCATTGAAGAAGATGTAGCAGATTCATTTTGAGAAAAAAATCAAAACTTCTCTACATCTTGATCGATTGCTGTTTTAAACATAGAGATGCAACACTGCAGATGATTTGTTTCCTTATTCTAGCGCATATTACTAACCCCGTACAAATGATGATATTGACATTGATGTACTCGTCGTTGTTTCTGAATTTGTACTAGTTAACACATTCATAGGCGAGCCTTCTAAAATATATTTACAGTTAATTTTCGAATAGATTTTAAATTACACTACGATGTCGTACCGCGTCGCATGAAATAAACGGTACCAGTTGTTAGAACAAATACTAACGTAATTAACAGTATTTGTGCTATTATTATTTTGAAAAACTTTTGTATCGATGTTGTTCTGAAAGAATAAAACTGAGAGTCATATGTCGAGTCAAAAAAGTACTGACTCAGATATTGTATTTGTCGGTATTGCCTCTAAATGATTATTAGTCACATTTGTATTACTAGGAGAAACAGAATTTGTTCGTCGTTTTCGATATTGATAGATTGCCATTCCGATTCGAATTAGTTTTGGACAAACCCAATTCAGAACAATGGAGAGACCACCTTGAAGACCGAGGAAAACAAGTACTGTACGCGATACGCTAAATTTTTGAATACTAGTATGAGCGCACAAGAGAGGCCAGCATGCATGATAATATGAAGAATAGTTCTTGTCTATTGACCATTCTTCGATAAATAGATCGGAGAGAAGTTCATGCACGGTGTTGTTGATTGCAAAGCGACTACTTAGTGCTGGAAGTGGAACAATAGGATGTTTATACTTTGTAAACTGCTGAATGCGATCGAGACATGATTGACTATAGAAACATTCGAGAGTCGAAAGTAGTAACGATTCGCTAGGTGTGCATCCCATTTTTAACCCCTTGATTGAAATCTCTGCTGCTGAATCTGCTTCAATGAACTTTGCTTGAGTTGTACAATTTGCATGTAATCCGCATGAGCACCCATTGTCATAGGTCAACGCTACAATGGGAGCATACCGTAATTCATCTGTATTCTCCAAGAATATATATTGAAAATTTGTTCCATATGTCGAGATGAAAGCATTCGCATGATTGACATTGCGGACTAAGAAGAGAAGACGTTCGAGTAGAATAGGAGCATATAGTTTCGTTTGTTCAATTAGTATATCAAGACGAGTGGAAAAAACTTCTGCAGAAAGAAGTTCGTTGGTAACTAATAATGACGAAAGAAACTGGTTGATTGAATTCTCGATTGATTGTTGCGAAAGATGACATAATCCTTGAAGATAGTACAGATGAGCAGAAAGAAATCGACGATAATCTTTTCTGCTATAGATCGATAAATTCGAAGCAAGTCCAGTTGTAATACCGGCTATCCACTCATCCGATATAAACTCGCGTGAAAAAATCTATAAGAAAAAAGAAAGAAATTCGTGGTTTTGTGAGTGTAACTTTGCGAATTACCAGATGAAATTTCGGTTCAATAACAACAAAATGATCGTAGGTGGATGCAATTACTGAACATGGACATTTCAATTCATTTCCACAGATCCGTTTCAACTTTTTATAAAAGCTAAACGATGGATTTTCAAAGATCTTAGTTACAGTTCGAGCTTCTAAAATAGTGTGAAAGGCGAGAATAGCAATAGTACTAATGACTAAAGCAAGATAAGCACGAGTTGCCATTCGACCATAACGTACAGCAGTAGCTCGATCGATTTGACTTCCAAAATCGCGCACTAGGAAGATGTTCAAGTTAACCAGGGCCGTGAAGAATAGTCGAAACATATTTCGAACAGTCATTCCCAGTTGTTCTATACGATTATTACAACAAGCTATGAAAGTAGGTAGACACACAATATTTTCCAACCATAAAATTATCATGAAAAAGAGACTTACATCGTTCTAGTGTCGTTCGTTTCTTTTTATAACATAACGTTGCAAGCTTAGCCACACTTTTGACGAGATGAGGCGTCAAAAGTCGTAACGATACAACAATTCCACCAATCACGGATAGTAATACTGTTATTACTTCGACGAAGGTTTTCCGCATTTGTATAGAATATGTACAAAAGCTGGGTGCACATGTTTCGTAGAAACGTTCGTATGATAACAACGCATTCCATTGATCAAGCATCAGAGAATCAAGAATGATCGAAATTGTTGTGTTGGGAGGATGTTTTGTTATTGAATTGTGAACGAGAGGCCGAAAACTACGTGAAAGTCGACCAAATCTCGAATGTATTATCTCTTTACGACCTAATGTAGCTAATAGGAATTGAAAACAATTTGATTCGACATAAAAACATTGGAGTGATGAAAATAGAATAGAATCAATAGTAAAACAGCCCTCGACCCAACCTGTTATATTTAAATTCAGCCATGGTCCAAAATTCTGATGATCTATGTTAGTCATAGCTGGCGCTTGACATTTAGGATTTACAGCACAAACACAACTGATCTTGTTTGAACTGATGGTCGATATTTCATTGAGTACGAAGTGAATCTAAAGTAACAAAAAACGATGGTAGAAAACTATTTTTATGTGTACGGTGAGATACGCCTATATAACGCTGCGCGCACACTCCTTTTATAGTCTATTGCATTGAACGAAACGCACTATTTCTAGAGTTATTGACATACTTGTGCTGCTCGACGATCGTTTGTCGTAGTTTCTATCACTAATCCATTGTCGACTGTTTGAACAGTTGCCCAGTTCGATTTCACAAAAGGTTGATCAATCTGCATGAGAAGATGTACGATATTTTTCATGGAATTGAAGTGGTAAAATGTTGATTGATAGAATTGCTTGAGACTTGCATTGATTCGCTCCTCGAAATCTCCTTTACTGAGTATAGAGGAAGTTATGAAGAATTGAGAAAGATATCGGTTAACAGCATCATTTATCGTCTTGTTCGCCAATTGACAAAAGTCAGATAACATTCGAAATTCCGAAGACGCTCGATTTCTCCAATTCTTCAAAGAACGATAGTCCGTAAGGGACATCAGTAATTCAATCCAACTATCTTCCACGAAGGTGCTTGTGCACACTTGATGAAGGCGTGGAGATAATGTGAGAAATTTTTGATAAAGTATTGCGCTTTCAGAACATGGACATCGAAGTATCATAGAATGTGATTGCTCTAAATTGATATATGTTTGTAACGATGGATTTCGTTCTGTGATTGTCACCATTTCACGATTGAACGACATAAATAGGATAAGTGCGCAAATTACACCTATAATGGTCAAAACGCATTGGAATGTATATAGACGCAGGAGAAAGTCAGTATTACCGATTAATAAAGTGAGATAAGTACGGCTAATAAGTCGTTGCTCTTTGATAGAACTCTCCGACCGATTATTCACGTTCTTAAATAAATTTTGTTGCTTCAGTTTTCGAAGAAGAGTCGATAGTTTCGTTCGCCGATGTTCTAAAAGTTCTCATAGAAGTGAGATTTTTGCTATGTTGAAATCATACCCTCATTTCTACTTCTTCTCAACGACTCATGTTTGAATTTGAATACGATATCAATAAAAAATGATGATGCCAATCGAAAGATTAACACAAGACCACCGTAAAGGCTAATCAAAAGAGTTATTGTTAAAGATAGAGAGGCCTGACCGGCTCGTATATATGTACATATCGATGGGAAACATCGATAAAAGTATTCAGTATAATCTATCTTGATGGACCAATTGCTAATAAAAAGCTTTTTTAAATGTGTGAGTATACAAATATTATCATGTTTGGAAGATAGAATCGAATCATTCCAACTGACATTCATCTAAATCGAAATTTTAGAAAATCTAAAGAATGGTATTGCACGTACTTGACGAAGAAGAGGAAAGTAGCTGCGCAGAAGTTGAATACATTCTTCTCTATATAAGCAATCCAGTGTACTTGCAAGAAATGCATCGAATGCTCTGAATCCAGTGAAAAAACCGTTGACAATTGTAGAATTTGGTAACGGGATCATCTGAACTCTTCGAAGGATATCCCGATCGTCAATTGATAGTGGACTCAGAGTAGCTGCAATTACTGTACTTTTTAGATCACATGACGTATTCTGGTTGTTTTTAGTTGGATCATATATTTGATATGCGAATATTGACGAATGTGCAGTGGAGTCTAGCTGAATAAAAGTTATATAATTTGTATTGAGTGCTGAAACCATTCGTTGTTCTTTTATGTTTGTTCTCAAGTAATTCAAAAAGCTCATAAATCGATTTATTTCACTAGTCTTCAAAAATTCGATTGTACCATGGATTTCTTCTTGAACTGTGAGTTCATGACGAAGATAAGCAGTGATAAGTTCAGTGTGATGAATATTAACCTGAATTTGAGAAATGATCTGTCGGGAAAGTAAACAGAAGGCAGACAGCAACTCAAACTAAATCGAAATTTTCAGGATTGCCGCTTCGGCATACGATAGAGACGACAAAATTCATACTAACTTGTGATTTTGCTGTTGTTCGAAAGTCCCATACACCGTATCGACTAGCATTTTGGAAAGTATAATCTCTCAATCCATTCTTTGCTTACGAATATACTATCACAAACCGGATGAGTGCTAATTATATTCGAAACGAACTGTTGATAGGGTACAGTAATGTTCGTACATGAACATGAAAGCTTTTTCCCGTGTTTTAAGTAGAGTTGATTGTATACATCAGGTGTAATATTTGGAATAATAATTGGTTCAGCATGCATTTTCAGAATTGTTACATAAAATAGTGTTACAAGCGACACTGAAATGAACAAACATGAAAGAATCTTTATGACAGTTGGCCGATGTTTTCTATGCGATTCATTAGTTACCTGAGAGAACGACCACATATAACCAAGTTTTATACTTTTGAAGTCGAAGGATGACTGCTGGATCTCTGATTGCATTTTCATTCTCATCATCATCGTCATAGTCGTCTTCCTCCCGTATAAAAAGATTGTAATCGGATAGTTTTTGAAAGAACCAATTGAACACGAGCTTGAGATTCATTTTGTAATGGATCAAGAAGTCATGATTTTATTACTATCAAATCGTGGAAAACAATTGTTAGAAGATATTGTTAGTTGGCCAATTAAAATTATAAATGAGTATCTCTACAACTTCTCTCAGCGGTCTAGATTAACGAGGTTCTGAGGAATATGTTGAAATTGATTCTTGCTCAAGAGTCCGAAATTGCGAATTCACTTGTTCTGGACTCAGTTTTTACTTACAAAAGTAGAAAGATTGACTGATAACATACAAAATATACTCATAGAGAGGATCATTGCAACTTTGTAGAATGTGAGAAAAGACGGTATTTATATAAATTATGTAGTCTCTGCAGGACATATATGTCGAAAAACAAGACTTTGATAGGCCTAATATTTAGTTAATAAAAGATGATTAATGGTTTTTCTTGATGACGTTCTTAAAATCGAAGTTGACGCATCACCTATTACGTGTATGTACTCATTATCATAAATAGAATTTAAAAAACAGCTATTTCTGAGATCTCACTTATTCCATGTGCTGTATAAATACTATCTTTAGAAAAAAATTAATATTATTAATCATTAGCACCAACAAATAAAAGATATAGCTGCCACTAGTATTGCAGTGCACATTCATTTATAAGTCTAACAATCAAACATACGTAGATTACTAAAAAGTGCTATACGTAGTCGAATGCAATTAATCATCGGTCGATGATACTTTGCTTCGATATACAAAATGTGCGCTATTATATGTTTGAATAAGATGAGTTTCGTCTATTTTCAGCTTCACTGTTTCCATCAACCACTTCAGTTGATCGGAGTAGCAACTGGGCTCATCTTTACCCATTATTAATGGTATACCTATTGTGTTCAAGTATACTACTTGTAAATTGTCTATCGAGATCTGTTGAGTTTCTTTAATTAAGCTTTGACTTTGATCCTGTTGTGAACTATAAGTATCTACACGATTGTCTCCAAAGTTATCATTCGATCGAACTCATGTGCATAACGAACTGATTAGTACCTTGAGCTATTCGTTACTAACTCGTTGCATTTTTATCAATGGTCGAGACATTGAATATCAGATTAGAGTTCTCCAGAGGGCATTAGAATGTTAGATTTTCTTTCTCTGCTTCAATAATAATTAACCAAGAATGTTTATTTTATACGATACAACAACGACAAAAAGAAGAAGAAGAAATGTTTCTATAGGGCAGAGAAATAATATTTTTCTTGTTTAGATATGGACGTTTGTTCTCTTTGTACGACAGAACATAATCACAAGATTAGTTAAGCATTCACAAGTGCTTTCAAGGTTGCAAGAACATCGCCGTGATGTTGCCGTAAAGTTTTCTCCGCTTTCGAACGCGGTAACTCCAATTCTTGCACAATGAAGTCCACGTCTTCCTTACGAATTTTTACGTTCGCTAATGCAGCTTGTTCCGCTTTACGTTTCGATTCATCACGATGACGTTTGTCATTGATGGCTGATAAGGCCTAAACAGAGCAAATGATCTGGCACATAGTCATTGAAAAAAAAAGTTTCTTCGTTTACGTTGCCGATATTTTCTGCCCCGATTTCTTCGTCATCGACCCGATCAGTGACACGATCAAGTTCTTTTTCAACTTTGGCATCCTCTTTCTTTTGATTTGTACTTGTTTCTTGTTCTTCTTCTTTTTCATCATCGGAACCATTTTCATTTACAACTGGTGTTACCTTATCCGACATAGTGAGTGTTTATGTATGTGTGTGTTTTTTCTTTCTCGTCTATCTACAAGTAAAATGAACGAAGCTATGAATAGTAGTAATTTTTCTCGTATGTTGCTAAAGGAATGTCCAACACAGCAAAAGACAATAGAATAGAGATACAAAACAAACAAAAAACGAACAAGAAAAAGATTAAGAAGATGCATTAATCATCAAGTGATGATTGTGAACCACGAGTATTATCCCCAAACCGACTTGATTGGGTTAATAATTGATACAATTGTTCATCGTTTAAACAACCATCGACAAATTCTTCGCGACTCAAGACTCCATCGGAATTCTTATCCATCATACGAAATATATTCATAGCACGTTCATCGGCTTCAATTTGTCGTTCTGGTTGTTCCGTATCTTCACCAATCAATTCATAAATAGCCTAAATATACATAAATTTCGTAAGGAATTCCCATTTCTTAAACAGCGTCTCATTCATCACATACACTAATGATCCTTCGCATTTCAGTTTCATCAATTGATCCATCGCCATTACAATCGTACATACGGAAAGCCATTTCTAATTTCCTATCGGGAGTTCCTTGGGACGTTATGTTAATTGCTTGTAAAAATTCTTTAAAGTCAATTTTACCGCTATTATCTAAATGATAAATGAATCACAACAGATGACAGAATCCGATTGTCGCTCGTTCAACTTACCCGAATCGAACGCGCGAAAGACATGCTCACAGAAATTCTCTGCACGTCCTTTTGGAAAGAATTGCTTGTAGATTTGAATGAAGGACTCGCGTGTCAGTTCACCAGTTGGACAATCTCTCTTCAAAAGTTCAAAATGAAACGATTGCTATCGAAGGAAAAACAGCAGGCATACCATAAAACCTTTGTACCAACTTTTGATCTTCTTTTCCGAATACGTTGTATGGGTTTTCAAAAAGCGCAAGTCCTCAGGTGATAATTCATGCTTCGAGCTCGTACAGCCCATCAACAACAGTTGAAATCATGTGCGGTGAAGAATAAAAGACTAGAAGAAGAAATAATGAACTCTAATTGAAGATTAAACTTCGATATTTGATTCAATCGTTCGGAAAAAAATTCATAAATATATGAAAATGGCGTATACACAAAAAAGGCGGAAATTGCCAGGAACGATAAAGATCTCCTCCTTTTTTCCTTTCTCTCTCCCTCTCTCTACTTCTCGCTCTTTCTCCCTCTCTTTTTTCTTGCTCTCTTTCTCTCTCTCTCTCTCTCTCTCTCTCAAGTAGATGAATACGGACGATGAATGAAGTCGATGTGTCTTCCGTCATTGGTGCTCGTTGAATGAGACGATCGTCCAATATTAACACTTACAAATGATTTGCCTAAACATACTTAGCTTCTATCTTTCTAATAAAACATGATGATAGTCGAAGACATTCAGTAATTAGTATTCCTACTGTGATGTAAAACGTTTTCTTCACTTGCGCTTATTTTTACGATTGTGTGTTTTGCTCTTGTTCAAACAAACATGAAATCAAACGCTGTGAGAAACCAACTAATGGCGAACTTCGAATGGAAAATCAATATGTAACTATTTATAGATCTAATCTGATGTGGATGTGTCATTCTTGATCAACAAATAGATAGAGATTAACTAATCAGATTAGATCAGCAAATGAATCTAAGCGATCGGGTTCGATCCACAGAAGCAAAGCAGCGAAAGAATCGATTATGGTTGAAATCAGAATAGGTCCCATCAACAGTGTCAAACCACTTACTTCTTGACTGAGAAATACTGTTAGTTATAGAAATGTTAAAGACGACGTTCTTTGATTTCTAACTTTGAAATGAAGAAGGAAAGAGCACGTCCGGATCAAAGAAGAAAGAAAAACGCAAAACTTAGCGAACGTGGGTTTTGCTTCTGTCACATATGCTTATATTTTGAACGATAAAGACATCAAAGCGTCAAAGAGAATAATGACATTACTCTAACCGATTGAACGTTTGAGATTTCCCAAATGACGTAAATAAGAAGAGGAAAAAACTGGAGGATATTTCAATTTAAAGTGAAGCGAAGGAAAATCGCATTTCATTTGATTGAATTGTTCTTGTCAAAGTAGATAAAATATTCAATTAAGTCTCAAGTGGATCTAGATCAAGTAGAAAACTTTGTTTTTTTTGTGCTGTTAACTGAATGTTAACGCAATGGGCGAATACTTAACGTTATCTGTTTTGTCAACGAACGAGCTCGTTTTTATTTTTTCCGAATGTACTTTATTTGCCGGTAATCTATTCTATACGGAAGTATCATGTGAATAATGGCGATCAAAGTCAAAGAAATCTTAACGGCAAGGAAATTCATATACAATATTTAGTTAAAGTTATAAGAAAAGGAAGAAGAACGGGAGAAGGAAGAGTGACAAATATATTCCATCAGAAAGGTTCTCTGCGCACTCTCCGTTTTCATACGATCAAATTTCTTCAGTATGAATAGGTTCTGATTTCAATCAATCTCGATCTTGAAGATCTGTTCTGTTCAGCCCGTATTCTGAGCAAAAGGGAAGACAACATGCATGTACGAACTGTCGTGCTCTCCAATAATTGAATAAAGTAATCAAGCGATGTAACAATACCTTCATATCGTCCTCTATTCTTTTTCTTCGTGATCATCATTGTCATTGGCGTGTTCCCAAATGTCATGCAATTTAGACACCTGAGCTTGCTCATACTTTCTTAATCAGTAATACCGTAATCAAATCTGAAAATATAGAGTTATATTGGATCTGACTTTCTTATTTTAGCATTTTGTGAAAGAAAGGAAAGAACAAGAACATTTTGTCATTATCTGACTAATATACAATTGATTTAAATAGCCAATAATAGAACTATTGGACAATGATCTGACCCGTACACGCCGTTTTGTATAAGCGAGTCACATATTGTTTCCTGAAGACTAGATGATAGAATGAAATAGTCCAATCGCCAGCCAATATTTCGTTGACGAGCATTTCGAAAGTAAGCCCAGTAGGTGTACGCATCACGTTTATCAGGATAGAGATAGCGAACTAAATATTAACAAAGAAATTCTAATATTTTGAGTTGAATATTTGACGTAAAATTCATGTAGGCACTTTTATTCAAATGTATTCTTCCGGAAAGAAACGTTTTGATCAAGGATTCAAATCGACAAGTGTTAAGAATGAATTCTGTTTATATACTTACATGAATCAATGAATCCGTCAGCGAGAATTTTAGAAAAATCATCCCGTTCTTCTTTGGTAAAACCTGCTGTCTTGGTGTTGGTTTTAGGATTCGTTAAATCGATGCTTTGATGTGATACATTTAAGTCGCCACACCTCAAACGAGAAATCATTTCGATTTTTTTTCTTTTCGCTCTGGAAACATTTGCTTTACCAGATTACCGGCTTCTTCTTCTCGAGCTCTTTCAAATACGTATGAAATACTCGATTAAACTGTTGTCGATAGGATAAACGCACAAGTTTACGACCACTATTAGGAATATAGGTAACGACAAGGTAAAATTTATCGTATTCGGCAGTAATAACACGCCCTTCGGTATCATGTTCTGCTACACCGATGCCGAATTTAACATCGATCGGTTCGACTTTTGTCAATAGCCCAACACCGGAATAACCAGCTAAATCAGAAGAAGTTCAATTGTGAATGATCGAAGACAAACCTAAAAAACGGAGTACCTTGATCACCAGAGAGCCAATATGATTTGTAACCAGCAGGTGTGGCTTCAATTGGAATCTTATCTTTGTCGCATTTCAATTCCTAAACTCGAAAAATGATTCAAGAAGACTATCGAAGGCTGGTTTTACTTGAAAACAGATTATATCTGGTTGTTCTTTCTCGATATACTTTGATCCACCATTTGTAATCCATGCACGAATGCCATTTATATTCCAGGATGCCAATTTTAACGTGGACTTCTCTCCTTTACATGAAACACGTTCAGATGTTTGTAAGGTCATTGCAGCCGGTTGCTTTACATTAGTACTGGCTCCTTCAGCATTTTCTGCGTTATCATCTTCATTGGTTAAAAGTGCCTTCTTCGCTTTCTACGCGTAAATGTATTTCATTCAGTCGACTACTCTTTGCAAAGTACTTTACTTTGACGGGCGAAGCAGAAGCTTTACGCTTTTTTGTTTGCGTTTTATCCACAATCGTAACCGTCGGCTTGGTTTCATCTGACTTATCTTCGGTTACATCACGTTTCGGCGCAACGTTCTGCGTTGCTTTCAGTTTCGTTACTTTAGGCATCTAGAATAGATTCAAATGTACTATGGGAAAGTTTTTTTCTCTTATATTGACAAGAGAACATCATATAACTTGAAAATAAAAGTATCGGAGAGGAACAAGAGGAGGAAGAAGAAGAAGAAAAACGTCATTTGAAACTAAACACTAACTGTTGAAAAAAAGGAGAACGGTTCCTTAGAGTTCAATCCCATAATTTAGCTTCGAACACCCAAGGTTTACGCGATCCGAATTTCATTCCAATTCTTGCTTCTGGATATTCATTGGCTTGGGAGAGTGTTGGTGGATTGGGTAGATCAAGTTTGGGTGGATGTCGTTCCAATGAACCAGCTCGAAAGGGATCCGATGGAACTGGTCGTTTTGTATCATGCATGCGCACCATTGAAAAGTAACCTGGCTCTGGTCGTTCTAAATTCATTTTATCTTTGGCGCATTGTTCAAATGCATGCTGTTCTTTTTTACAACTAAATGCGACAAAGCGTCATTGTTTTAGAAATGAACATAAGATGAGAGAAAAGTAACGTACTAATGGAATCCCATTTCACCTTCAGAAGCATTGTCAAGACAGGTCCAGAGAGTGGTAAACGTATCGTTACATGTATCACGTACTTTACGAAAGAAATCAATAGCACATAATGAGACATCCTTGCCTTCTTTGACACATTTTCGTGGATCTTGTTCCTCCTACAAGTATAACAGATCTTTTCGTTTTCAACAATTTCCAACTGTTGTACTATATACTTGTCGGCACAGCATGAACTCCTAGAATTCAGAACGATCTTATTATAAGCTTCAAGCTTTGTTTCACAGAACAAACCTTAAATTGTAGATCACAATACTTGGCCAAATGAAAGCTTCCGGCTCGTAATGCTGGTGATGATACATTCACAACCGGACATTCCAGATCTTCGTAGCTCGGCAACTTCGTATCCTTCGTGAAACTCATTCTTATCTACAAAATCAAAACAAAAATTCAAAACAATCGAACGCGATTGTTCTCCAAAAAAAAAAGATCTCTCTTCTCGAAGGGCATTTTGTCTTTATTCATATACATAATTGATATTTTCACACGAACACGTACACGCTGAAATATTGCTCGATAACAAAAAAACGCGAAAACAAAACAAATCCACACTAAAAGAGATTGACATTACATGCCAGAAATTGAATTCATTTAAACATTAGTTTGCTCGTAAGCTTCAGGAGAAACTAAGAGATGAATGTGACGGGCAAGGTGCACCGTGTTTGTTTCTTCGATGATATTTTGAGCTGAACATAAATTGACCTAGAGTAGAAATGCAAAGACAACACCGAAACGACGAGACAAGACACACACCGGACATGAAAATTAATGTGCAAAAAAAAACCAGAACAAACATCTTAGAAATAATTGTGATAATAAGCAAATAAGAAAGTAGCTAGAGCGAGAAAGACAACAAGGAAATTAGCAATGACTTTATCAAATGATGAATTGAAATGATTTGTACAACGTTCGAGATTATTCAAGAAGATTAATTCAAGATAATTTATTGTTAAAAATAAACGAAATAAACCAACTTGTCGTTTTTCAGTCACATGAATTGGATCATTCGCGATGATGATATCTGTTAGTTTAGCAAGACATGGCTATAAAAACACACGCAAAAAGAATCATGCAGAATTATTTTGTTAATTTAGTTTCGGTAAAATCATGCAAAGTAATCAAACCAAGTTCAAGCACGTGCTAGTTTAGTTTAGTCACTCGTATCGAAAGTAAAATGCTCTTACCTCAGGAACGCCAATGCGACGACTAGCTTCGATAAAATTCTCGACATTTCGTCGACATTTAGCAATGGAAAGTTTCGGCTAGAATGGTAAATTGAAAAAGTTGACTTTTCAATTCATGATAGAAAGATAGTTCTTACCACTGCTTGAGAAGGTACATGAATACTTTGAACAGAGCGCGGTCGAATTTGATTGATGAAATGACAGAGAACAACACCGTCACTTAATGCATAGGCTATATCATCGGGTAACGTCACTTTTAAGCGATCTTCGATGATCTAAAAGACGGCAGTGATCCTAATGGAGAAACTACATTTGTTTGTCTAACCTTTTTCATTTGCTCCAGTTGGATATTTTCCTCCTTTGAGTGAAACGTATGTCGTTGCATAGAAAATGTTGAGTTATTCATAGATGAAGCTAGAACTCAGAGTCAAAGTTCGAAAAAGAAAACAATTTCCTTGAGAATAGTTACTTTTCATCGATATATGATCGTACTAAATAAGGAAACAAATAGAAATCTTTTGAAATTTATTCAATCTAACTTACATTTGACGACGGTCCATCATAATATTTCAATTTTGCTACTCGACTTTCTTCGTAGTGATCATACTGCAAATCATCCTATACAAACAAAAAACTTATCTTTCGCAACTCAAACTATTTGTTCACTTACCATTTGATCATAATTTACATTCGATGACGATATTCTACAATCAAGATGTTTTCTTATTTGTCTTTGAAGAAAACCTTCTTACTTTAATTGATTAATCGTATCTGAACTTGTGAATTGTCGGTTGATCGTTGTTGAACTTTCGCACCGACTCGTCGGTCCATTAGGCAAGGATTTCTGTTGAATAAGATAATGTCGGTGATGTCCATTATTCAATTTCATCTCGTTTGGCTCAACGCTAATAGCACGATTCGTTCGCAGTAGAAGATCACCAACAGCTGAATTATCTATTGACATTGAACACTGATAGGAAGTATGATTAGCCATGAATTCGGTCTTACCATTGGAAAATTGTCTTGTTAACGGCCAAGGACGTTCTTTCGACGAAAAATTCAGCAAATGAATATTTTTACTGCAATAGAGACGAAACTAATTCTGAATTCGTTACACTTTGCTGACATACCTGTTCTCCATTTTTCTTCGGGCATCTTCACGTTGTTTTTCCATTTTTGCCAGCTTCTCATCATGTGCACGTCGAGCTAATTCTCGAGTTTTGGCTCTCTATTCAGTTCAAATCGAAATAGTTTCACTTATCTCAACTATTCTTCTTACTTGAGTTTCCGTTTCTCCTAATTGTTGCAATAAATGAATTTTTAATTGATGCGCTTGACATTTCTTCTTGTCATATTCCGTCTTTTGTCTGGTCAATTCCTGATCGAGCAAAATAAAACGATAGCAGATGTTTAGTGGAACAGGATGAACTTTACTTTAGAAAATTCATCGGCAAGGGTAAGCATCAAGGTAGGCTCACTACGAAGCGATTGATTATCGGGCATGCTAATGACAGAATCATCCTAGAAAAACGGATGAACAACAAGCAAGGAAAGGACGTAGGTTTATTTACATCGCCAAGAGTTTTTTCACTGCTTTCGGTTGTTAAATAACCTGAATCGGATGGTACCACTGTTTTTCGTAATCGTGTTCCACATTGTAAATGTCTAAAATAAGCAGAGAGCTTCGATATTTGTCAATGTCAATGTGGAGAAAATCGGGTAATCAAGAAGTTTTTTCGAGAGAAGAAAAACAAAAATACAAATTAAAGTCTAATAAAATGTAAACAAAATAAGCAGTTAGAAGATAAATGATGAGCGTTAGAAATCTGTTTTTCTTTTCAAAAAGTTATAATACTGTTCGATAGATCCTATGAGAAAAGAAAAGAAAATTCTTTAATTGATAAAAACCATATATGAGAAAGGAAATTAATTGATGCGTACAAGATCACCTTCTCATGGGAAATGAGACTATGAGCAATTCATTCTTCCGGATGATTATAAATAAATTTATGCAAATACTCAACGAAATACAATTGTTCTTCGATATAAACATTTCAAAAGGTATTAACTTAATTGACATGCTATTACTGAAACTCATGAACAGTTGTTCTCGCCGGAGGCAGTTTTCTTTCAAATCGAACATAAACTCTACCTTGCGCCTTGATAGGAAAATGAATTTCGATATTTGGAATTGATTTCATTTTCTGTTAATAGGCCACGTCGTTTCTCTTCTTTCATCGCTTCGACGAGAAGATAACGCATAATGTGTAGCAAACCTAATGTGCATACCTGAGAGAAGCAAAGGAAATACGTTTAATCTTTTATAATCTTGAATTTCTTTTCATCTTACCGATGCCGGTGGACTTTCTAATGGATTATGTTCTACGTTAAACTCGATTAACGTGACCATTTCTCGTAGGTTCAACGGTAAACGGGTGATTCGATTGAACGAACAATCGAAATTGGTCAGTTTCAGATGGCCGATTTCTAAAAATAAACGAAGGAATGTTTGCGAAATGAAAAACTAGATGTTTTTTTTTTCAAAACCCAAACGTGCAAAAAGGAAATTTTTCTTTTTGCTGGAAAAAAATTAAGCATTAGGGTTGATAAGCAATACCTTACTTCGCACGAAAAATCAAAAGAATTCAACTGAATGAAAGACTAGTTTATATATCTGAAAATGAAGTGTGGGGTATTACTTTACCTGCTGGTAATTCTCTAATCATATTTCGACGAATGTTTAGTGTTCGAAGCGATGTTAATGTGCCAATTTGATATGGAATTTGATTGATATCATTCGAACTAACATCCTATACGAACAAATGAAGATTTCAAATCGATTTTCCGAAAAAAAGTTCGTACTAATTCGATTAATCGTTCTAATTGCCCGATTTCTTCAGGTAGTGAGAGAAGTTTGTTATTATTAATGATTAAAACTTCTAAATTAGGTAGTTTACACAGTGATGAAGGAATATAAGCCAATTGATTTCGACTAAAATCGAACGAAATAAAAGATGCTAAGTAAATCGATCGTTGGAGAACAATGTACCTTAAATCCAGCACTTTTAGCATACGAATTTGAACAATTTGTTCGGGAATTGATTTGATTGCATTGCTATAGAGATTGAGACGTTCAAGTGATGAAAATGAGCATAATATTCGTGGAAATTCAACAAAATGATTACGAGAAAGATCTACGAACACGAATGATGATTTCGTTATGTTTCGACCAAAAAAAATATTCATACCAGCTGTTATGGTATCGGACAGATCACATTTATTATTTGAATAGGAATAATTCGGAAATTCGCGAAGTTTTCGTCCATTTAAAACCAGTTCACCTGTATAAGTGGCATCATCAAGTGCACGTTCAAGACTTCGACTTAGGCAATGTACTGTTTTTGGTTTATTTCCATTGACTGCAGTCGACGTCGATGAATCGTAAGTTGTGGCCATGCATTCACATTCGATTTGAATTGAAATGAAAAACTAAAACAATGGTTAGATGACAAGTTTAGATTGAAAATCATATAGGGAAAAGATGCACACTGCTGCTTAGGTTAGTTTTATTTATTTATTTACTATACATGCTTGTATGACTACTGTAAACCAATGGGAACAATTTGAAAGATGTCGCATGCTTGCAAGATTATCTCGGAGATAAGAAAAAGACAAACTGAACGCAAAATGTTGAGCTGATATGTTTCTCATCCTTGTTCAATGGGTTATTTTCTGCACGTTCCATTAGCAGAGTTCAAATCACTGCGAACTTCTTTTCAAAGAATTTCAATATCTGGAAATAGAGGCCTTTCAAGAATAGACGGTGTGAGAGTACCCCCTCCCATTTTTTTCGCATAACATCAGGCTCAAGTACACGAAATATACGTATTTTTTAGATATGCTCATGACATTCTCTATCTCGATCTCCATTTATTGGTTTGAACTTCAGAGCAAAAGAACAAAATGAAAGTGAAATAATCAGATTGATCGATAAGCACAAGAAAAGCACGGACGAGTAAACTCTTCGGAACGATTTTATGTTAGTGTATCAATAGGACACAATTTGTGCTGCCTCATCTATTAATGGTTTACTGTTTCGGTCTGGACGACAATTGGCTTAGAAAGAACTAATGCTTTATTCTTTTTGTATTTTGTTTTCTTTAGAACCTTACTCGGTTAAACGAATCACGTGATATTTCTGTTAAATTTTCTTGGTTTACGGTTCTTTTCAGAAAATTACTACTGCTGAAACAGAACAAGTTTCGAAGATGACAACAGCCGATTCGAACAATACGACGTCAATCAAAGAAAAATTTGAGCGTGAAATTTATCTATTAGATTATATACCGCGTATATTAGAAATGGATGTTACGGGTGTTTATATGAACAAGAACGGACCTTATCCCGACGAAGTCGAAGCATTAGAACACAAGAATTGGTCAAAACACAAAGTTTCAACGCTTAAACTAAGAGCGAGTAGTTATGGCGATTGGGAGTTCAGTATTGAAATGATAAACACGAAACATTTCGAAAGTCGAGAAGAACTAGATGATTTGTATGTTAAAGAATATGAACGAATTACTTCGAGTCGATGCATAAAGGTTGATATAATTTCTATCCAAAAAGCGGTTAAATTATTTCATATTGATTTTTCATGCAATATGGATTGGTATTTAAATAATCAAAATGCAATTGAAGAAAATTTAAATCGTCGCGTTCTACCAAGACAATGATCAGGATAAACCATCAGATGATGATACAATTTATGAGAAATATTTTACTTTAAATGATTTTCGTATACTACGTGCTTATCAAAATTATATGTTTGCCAGTGCGAAACGAGGAAACTATTATCTACTATTCAGTTTTGTATATTAACTGGAGCTGTTTTCACTCAATTCAGATTTTGAAAACTTATATCGAGTAAAAATACTTATTGTTTTGTTTGAAATAATTGAGGTCATTATGAGAATTGATGCTAATCAGTCCTTTATTTCAAATTGGGGGTAATATCGTATATGGCGTGACTACAATCCAATACTATTTATAGTTGATTATATGATGAGTGTCAGACGAAGAACTGTCTTCACTTTCTGAAACAAATGTCGTATGTGAACCTCTAGGTTACTCAACTGCTCTTGCACTTTATGCAAATTCTGCTGCTGCATTACTTGTTTCTTTTTTTGAATATAAATAAAACGCACACAATTGCAAAAGCGAGTATACAGATATGGTACTAATATCAATTGTCGACAAGATATTTGGTGTATGGGATATTTCATTGAAAAATATTTTAAAAGATTGTATCGATGTTCAAGAGTTTCGAGACATTCCTGTGTGTGCGTATATTCGTTGCCTATACGCTTTTTTCGCATGTATATATATAATAGACATTTTGATTGAGATGAACTTCTTGAAGAACATGTATGGTCAACCTAAGTAAACGCGATCGTACAGAATGACCAATACAAATGAAGAAAAGAATCTTACAATCTGCGTTATTGCTTGTGTGGGTCTTGAAATTCAGAGGACTGTCGGTAAATAACTGTGACGCAGGCTTCGCTTTGTCCAGAGACAGTAGAGCGAGCACATAGGGTGTAACTGCAAAGAAACGCAATTTGGCATGTATAAATCAATAAGTGGGGTGAGAATTCGTTATGTTAATGTCGTCGAGAGGTTGACTGTGTTCGTTAGGGATGGCAAAATCATGTGAAGTGGAAAGAACTGATGCTATTTGTCGATCAAGACGGCTCTAAGTATTGAATCAAGTGAAAGGTAAAGTTGAGATTTAGAACAACATGTTCACGACTGTCAGTAACAACAGGACTCAATGTTAACGCAATTCGACTGACTTCTGTCCTCGTGAATCTTTTATAGAGAAACATGTATTTGTTTCTTTATCTCGTGTCGAGTAAAGGATCGAAAGAAAGCGTGCAAACAATAGTCAGTTATGTCTACCTAGTCATATTGGGTGTGAAATATAGCATGACTGATTGGATGACGCAATGAATATAATTTGAGAACAAAAGTAATTTCTTCAAATCTAAATAAAGGGACATGTAGCGTTATAAAATACGTTGAAAGGTGTAAGAAAAGATCTATTACCTTCATAGAACTATATTTTCTTTGCTGTTCAAAATGAAATCGTTATTGAAAACTGGCATGAATATTCCACCTCCGAGCTAGTGTTCCTAAGGACCTATTATACCCATGAAGCGTATTATCAGTGTTAAGACTATGTTTGCAACTATTCCAGATAGATATATCAAGAAAAATAAAAGTACACTACGAAGCTCAGAAAACTAATAAAAACATCGATGGTAGACGTGAAAACTGAGGTTTTCAATTCAACTAGCGATAATTTAGAAATATTTCTCTTGCGTAGCTCGATGCTCAAGTCGATTCAACAGAAGAGAATAAGCAAACACAACAACAACTTCTACAAATGATCAATCATCTCAAAATATTTCACGATCAACAACAATGTCATGACTATGTCACCTCATTTTCTTCACAAGATCGACTTGTCCTCATTGTCAGTGGTCAATATGGTTGAACGACACGACAAAATCATTCGTACTCGATGTTTTCTAGATGAAAAGTGTGGTCACACGAACTAAAAATCTGATCGATCAAATCAATGCAGACCAGAAAGGTCGAACGAAAACTGAAGAGCCACTTTCGATCACTATCTTCAATGCCACTTGCATTGCAGACCAGCCCACAATTGGACTCAATGGCCATTTTGCTCACTCACATCTTCTCATCGATGTTCTTCTTCAAATAGAATCAACGAACAAAGATAAAAACCGGCTCATTACACTTTACAAACAACACTTTCATAACAACAATAAATATCTCGCTACTGTAGATGAATTTGAGCGAGAACACTCAAGTAACAAGGTACTGCGAATGCAAAACATCGATGTTTTGTTTTTACTTCGTTTTGTGATCAATGACATTTATCAGCAACTGAAGCAGCATCAATGTCAATCAGCTGTTCGTGTTCATCGAGGTCAAGTGATGTCAACTGATGAATTGGAAATCCTACGACGGTCCATTGGTGAACTTATATCGATCAACTGATTTTTCTCAACTACTCTCAATTTATCTGAAGCATTGGCATTCCTAAATCTGTTCACCATTGCCAGTGATTTGCACCGTGTATTGTTTGTTATTGATGCTATGAAGACATGTGGGTGATTCGAATGCAACCAGGCGAAGATAACGAACATGATCTGAAAGCACTGTTTGATCATATGAAGAAGGAGTTTGACATAGGTGATAGTGGTATTCATCTGCTATCATTAATCGAAGTGTTGTATAATATGAGAAGGTTCGATTTAGCAGAGAGGATGCTCAAGCGTTTACTGAGCGAACTTTCATCGAATGATCCATCACTTCAACGTGTTTACTGGTCATTTGGCCTAATCCCAAAAGATAAGGGAGATTATGACGATAGTCTGGAATGGTTCAACAAAGTATTAGAGCTCTATATAAAAATAGGTAATTTACATAATTGTATCGGTGAGATTTACTGGAAAAAGAATTATGACAAAATAGCACTGAAGCATTATAAAAAAAAAAGCGATTGAACTGTTTCGGAATGCAAATGCAGAGGATCATCCGCATATGGCTTATTTCTACAACAATATTCCGGTAGTCTATGATTATTAAAAAAAAGCTGGGAAGCTCTCAGTTATTTTGAGAAGTCACTGCTTATATACAAGAAGCATTTTCCATACGACCATCCAAGTATAGGTATGTCGTACAATAACATGGGATTGGTATTTACCATTGTCGGAGAACATGACCTTGCTATGGAGCATCATAATCGAGCATTTAAAATTCGGCTGAAATCTCTCCCGCCTCAACGTCCAGATATAGCTATGAGCCACAAAAACATTGGCAGAATACATGAACGGAACGGTGAGTGATTGGAAGCACTAGTTAATTATGAAAAGGCTGCCGAAATTTATTACCACTCGTTACCAGCTCAACATTCCAATGTAATACAAATCAACAAACACGTTAAAGAAATGGCATCGAAATTGAAGTGATATTATATTGGTGATATTTTATAGCATTTCATAAATAAACAAAGATTCTTCGATTTCTGTAAACAGTTTAGCATCATCCGTTTGTGTTTTGATCGAAAAACCAAACAATGAAGTTCTGCTTGCTTAATTACTAACATTATCAACAGAAAAGAATTCTAAATCTAAATAGCATACTCATTTCTATCAATCTAGTTCAAACCAAACAAGAACGGGTGCATATTCTTAATTCATTTTTACGTAGGTGCATTATGAAATGGCTGATTGGTTGTTGCATTGATATTGTTATTTATATTTTCTTGACTTATGAATTATAAGAAAGAAGCCTTCCAGTGTCACCTTGTACATACATATCTCATTGTGTGAATTCAATTAAATTTTCATCAATGAGATTTTTCTTTCTTGTTTATTTTGTGTCTACGTTGTTTGTCTCTATATAAAAAAATACGGTTTGTTTTGCGTTTTCATTGCACAGAAAAACCGAGTTTTATTCGTATGGCTAATGCTATTGATCTTCGCTCTATTGCCGTTGATTTAAATTCATGTCCGACTGTTCAAGCTCATCCGCCACCTGTCCAATTAGAAACCACCGATTATAGTGAATTATTACGAAAAGTAGCTGGTATTAATGTTACATCATTTCCTTGCTTGTTAATCTGTATTTCTATCGATCTTATCCTTACATTAATTACTTTGGGAATTGGTGCAGCGAATCAATCAGCATGTCCTATCGAGCCTCGCATTCCGCTTTATCTAATCGTTTTTGGCAGTGTCAGTCTCATTTGTATTTGTTTCAGTACGGTTGCTCTTATAATTCACAATCTTAAAAAAGATGAACATATGCTCGGCTTTTGTTGTGTTCATTGTACAGCTATTATGATAATAATCTTACAAATCTTTCGCTTTGTGTGGTTAATCATCGGGAGTATTTGGATCTTTCGCGTTTTTCTTGATGTCCAATATGTTGGACTCGATCAATCGACTTATTGTCAAGCAAACGTGTATCAATTCGCGATCTTTCAAGTGATTTTACAATATGTTCTTCCATGTGTCTTGTGCTACCTTAAAAATGTTTCATTTCGGTTTTAATCAGATGACAGAGAAGTCAATCCATTAGAAAATCAAAGTTTAATGAGATATTTGACATTCAGTTATTCTCAGCAGAGCTTGTAATATCGTTCTTTTTTTTCTGTAATAGTTATTTCCAGGACAATCTGTTGACACGGATAATCTTCAAACATGACATTTTTTTATATATATAGACGAGGAAAGATTGCATATCTCGCGATATGATATTGAAAAACGCAGACCAATTCAATCCTAGTGATCAACAGAAAAGAGAAACCTTCGTTTTCAAGGTAGGGCAAATGATCAAAAGCACTTGGTTATACTTGATAGTAAATCAGATCACTGCTTAAGACGTACCATCTATCATCATCAATGTTCTGAAACGGAGCTCTGAGATAAGAGCGAAGCAGAAGAATTAATAACAAGAATACATAAACACAGCATGCTGTTGTCTATAAGCAGGACATGTTGCTTATGTAAGATAGATGACATGTGGTTTTTCCATTGTTCTTCGGATTTTTCTTTTATCTATCGATATTGCTTATGAAGAGATATGACAAATCGTCATGTAAATTCCGTATACATCGATATAAATAGAACGATCAATTACAAAACGAGACACTCGATTTTCGAGTCAATATTCGATAGGGAAAGGAAACAGCGTGTATCGACATCGAATTAAACATAAAATCACGTCTTTATTGTTACACAAGTGAGAGCTGCGCAAATCATTATTATTATCATCATGATTATTACTTCACCATCGTTCTATTCACTTATATTCGGCACCATATGATACTTCTCGTCACCTCGATACTTGAAAATCAAAACTTAGTACTCGAAACAAGTCGGTTATTGAAAGAATAAGAACAAAATGAAGTCGACTTCTCTTCCTCTATCTTTCTTCTTTTCACCAATACGATTTAAATACTATATTACATAGACGTATGTATCTATAATGGTCTATGCGTGTGTGCGCGCGTGTGTAACAGGACATTTATTGTATTGTGTATGTACATGACATAAGGACAATCGAGGACGAAACGAGGAGAAAGAGGAGACAGACATGCTTGGAGATCGGAAAATGCGGTTCATTTCTTTTCTTCTTTCTTCAATATGAAGAACATTACTATCGTCTCTGTTCACATATAACCAGCATATATAAGTGGCCTCCGGCAATAAAGAACTTCCTGTAAGCTAACTCGTGTGAATGAGTGACCGCTCGAAGAGAAAGATGAGAGATAAAGAATGGAACAAGTAGAAGGAGGAGAAGAGAAGCAAAAGGATTAATATTAGACATTCTTTTGCTTGCAGTATTGTGGCATTTTGGATAGATAGTTGGTGATATGTTGTTCTTTCCTCTGTTATACATGCGTACCATGTTAATGTTTTATGTATATCTAACTGGCCTAATAGAGAAGAAAGAGAGATGCTTGTATTGAGAAAATCATAGCTCTCCATTCGTTCGTTCTCTTGCGTCTTGTCAATGAATCGTGGCAGTGTAGAAAAGGAAAAGAACATTTTCCATTACATCCTATCTACTATACGGTTTTCTTAATCATTGATGAATTTTCTTTCTTTCTTTTTTTTTCTCTCTCTCTCTTTCCGTCTATATCAACGATAAAAGTCTTTTCGGATTGATACAGCAAAGGACGCCTCGACAAAAGGTTAATACAGGTAGGTGGCCTCTCTCTCGTCCTCTCTGTTAAAGCGCATATACCGACAATGTTGATTGACAGTTCGACAATCATTAACGGAAAAGAAATAATAAGAGACAAATGGTCGATTGTGAAAATATGGTCGTCTTTACATTGTCAACATTGCATATGTGAGTGCGTAAAGATCTTTAATGACAACGTATTTTAGCGGTTGAACTTTCAAGTTGGCCTTCAGCATATGCAGACCGACAGCTACGATTGCGTGAGAGTCTCTCGATGGTAATTGAAAGAGAACGAGTCAGCAGAGTGCTCAGAAAGAGCAGTTACTCTATTGCCTATTTCGTGAGTTTATGGTTGCAAGCGGCATGAACTAAACAAGTTGCTTGACTAAGTTCTTTTCCTCCTCTCTCTTTATATACATACACATTGATTGGAATCGATACTTGTATTCCCTGCTGTCTAATGATAAATAAACATAATCATCCTTTTTTTTTTGATCATCAGCGACTGTAAGTATGCATAGATGTATCTTGTCGCCTGGAATAATGAAATTAATTCTAGACAGTTTTTTCCGATGTTATTATTGTCTTGCACTCGTAGTTATCCAGATCTTCATCTTTTTCATAAATGTTGTTTTTTCGGAGTGTCTTTGATTAATACCGAAATTATCGACTGATTATCAGCATTTCAGTAATGATTTCAATTGAATTAATCGAGATGCGCATGCGTGCGTATGTTTTTCCTCTTCTTATCAAAATAAATGCGCGTGTATTTCATTCCTCACTGTGCTTGAAAGATTTTCTTCATATTTGTCCTAAGTTTTATGTAATCACTGGATAGAAGAAGTAACGTATGTATATAGATAGATAGATGGATGGATGGATGTTCCTTTACTCGATTTGCTCTATGTGTGTGTCCCTCTCTCTCTCTCCCTTTGATGACGGCGGGTAGTCTTCTACTCAAGCAATAATGCTGATGATGATGATGATGATGATGATGATGGTTGTAACAGGAACAGAAATGCCGCGTAGAGAAGCGCAGAATCTCATTTCTATAAAAAAAAAGAGAAGCGAGAATGAATGAGACATGTATGAAGTGGCGGATATAATACTATTATTTAAGTTCAAATTGTACATCTATTAATAGTAAAGAATTTTCTTATCTAAATATTATCTTATTGTATTAATTAAATAAACATCAATTAGAGGTAAAAAGAAAACGACTGATTAATGAAATTATAGTAGAAAAATTTGATGATTAAAAAGTAAATCTATCCCGTTTCTTGCCTTCTTTCTAGATCGAA